ACCCAATATGATTTTAATCCTTCCAAATGTATTACATTTTGTTTTATGGCCCATTATTTGGTTTGTCCTATTGAATATTCCAAATGTACTTGAAGAGAATGTTTATTCTGATGCTTTTTGGTGTAGCAATCTATAAATGTCAATTATATTAAGCTCATCATTGATAGTGTTGCTGAAGTCTTCAATAGCTTTACTGCTTTTTGGCATACTTGTTTTATAAGCCAGGGGTACTCTTTAATACCTTTTTTCATCTAATCTTTTTCCTTAAATTTACTCCATCTGATATTAATGTCCACTCCAATCTTCCCAATTAGTATTTATAATAGTATATATTTTCCCATTCTTTTACTTTTAATTTTTTTTTAATTTTTGCACATATTTGTACCTGTTATTTAAAATTTTTTATTTACTTACTTTTTGAAATGTGGTCTTGATAGGTGGCCCAGGCTTGAGTGTAGTAGCTATTAACAGGCATGATCACAGTGCAATGTAGTCTCTAACTCCTGGTCTCAAATGATCCCCCTACTTCAGCCTACCAACTAGCTGGGATTACAGGCGCATACCACCATGCCTGGCTTGTAACTGTTATTTTTAAACTCCTTATTGCTTAGTTCTATTTCAGTCATTTCTGGGTTTATTTCTTTCCTTTCTTTCTTCTTTTTCAAGAGAGTTTCACTTGTTGCCCAGGCTGGAGTGCAATGGCACCATTTTGGCTCACTGCAACCTCCGCCTCTTCTGGGTCTATTTCTATTGACTGGCTTTTCTTCTGGTTTTGTGTCACATTTTCCCACTGCTTTGTTAGAATTTTTGATTGAGTGACAAATACTCTGTATGCCACACTGCTGGGTATCTGGATTTTGATGTCTTCCTTTAAAGAGTGTTGAGCCGGCCGGGCGCAGTGGCTCAAGCCTGTAATCCCAGCACTTTGGGAGGCCGAGACGGGCAGATCACGAAGTCAGGAGATCGAGACCATCCTGGCTAACACGGTGAAACCCCGTCTCTACTAAAAAATACAAAAACTAGCCGGGCGAGGTGGCGGGCGTCTGTAGTCCCAGCTACTCAGGAGGCTAAGGCAGGAGAATGGCATGAACCCGGGAGGCGGAGCTTGCTGTGAGCCGAGATCCGGCCACTGCACTCCAGCCTGGGTGACAGAGCGAGACTCCGTCTCAAAAAAAAGAAATAAAAAAAAAAAAAAAAAAAAAGAGTGTTGAGTCATGTTTTGGCAGGCAGTTAAGTTTGTTTTGGATCAATTTTTTTTTTTTTTTTTTTTTGAGATGGAGTCTTGCTCAGTCGCTCAGGCTGGAGTGCAGTGGCATCATCTCAGCTCCTGGGTTTGAGCGATTCTTCTGCCTCAGCCTCCCAAGCAGCTGGGATTACAGGCACATGCTACCACGCCTGGCTAATTTTTGTACTTTTAGTAGAGATGGGGTTTCACCATGTTGGCCAGGCTGGTCTTGAACTCCTGACCTCAGGTGATCTGCCCACCTCGGCCTCCCAAAGTGCTGAAATTACAGGCATGAGCCATCGTGCCCAGTCTGATTCTTAAAATAAAATAAAATAAATAAACAAAAATATTTAATAGAGCAGGTCTAGTTTAGCTCTACTACCAAGGTGTAATCTTTCTGGAGTCTTTATTGAATGTCCCAGGTGTTCAATGAATTTTCTCCATTTTGGGTGGGTGGAACTTCATCCAACCTTATTAAGTCCTAGAAATTATTTGGCTTATAGTTTCCCAGTAATTGTTTTTTTCCTCACTAGATCTTCTTTGCCAACCTGTGTGGGGTCTCATCCTGTGCATGCAGAGTTTACTATTCAGCCAAATCTACATATGGCATTGTCTGAAAAATGCCTCAGTCACAAAGTGAGGATAATCATATGGCTCACTTCATTTGTTTCTCAGTCTTGTGCTACATGTACAACATCCTAAACTGGTCTTCCAGGTTTTGTTTAGTTTTCTAGTTGTTTACAGCAGGAGGGCAGTTATTATCACTGTGAGAAGCAGAAGTCTACTTGGATTTTTTTTTTTAAGACATAGGGTCTCACTATGTTGGCCAGGCTAGGCTCAAACTCCTGGTCTCAAGTAGTCCTCCTGCCTCAGCCTCCCAATGTGCTGGGATTACAGGTGAGAGCCACCACACCTGGCTGCTTCTTCATTATTTTTTGAGATAGGGTCTTGCTTTGTTGCCCAAGCTGGAGTGCAGTGACACATATCTCAGCTCACTACAACCTCTGGCTCCCAAGCTCCCAAGCCCAAGCAATCCTCCCACCTCAGGCTACCAAGTAGCTCGGACTACAGGCATGTACCACCATGCCTGGCTAATTTTTTGTATTTTTTGTAGAGGTGGGGTTTCGCCATGTTGCTGAGATTGGGCTAAAGCAATTCACCCACCTCGGCCTCTCAAAGTTCTGGGATTACAGGAGTGAGCCACAGTCCCCTGCTGCTTCTTTGATTTAAAAAATTGTGTATTTCAAGGCTAATACTGTGTTTAAAATAGTGTATTTTTAAATTCACTAAAACGTGGAAATGTGAATACTGACAACTGGTTATCTGATGATTTTAAGATATTGTTTTTAGAGCAGTGATAAAGTTAATGCACTTACGGCCAGGCGTGGTGGCTCACACCTGTAATCTCAATACTCTGGGAGGCCGAGGTGGGCAGATCACCTGAGGTCAGGAGTTCCTGACCAGCCTGGCCAATATGGTGAAAACCTGTCTCTACTAAACATACAAAAATTGGTCGGGCATGGTGGCACCCCCCTGTAATTCCAGGTACTCAGGAAGCTGGGCTGGGATCGCGCCACTGCACTCCAGCCTGGGCAACAGAGCAAGACATCATCTCAAAATAAACAAACAATAAAAGTTAATGCACTTACATGAGAGACTTTTATTGTTAAAGAGTACATACTGAAGTACAGATTAAATAATATGATGTCTAGGACTTTTCTTCAAAATAAGATAAAATGAGAGAGGATAAGTGGGTGGAGTTATTCATGAAACAAGACTGGCCGTAAACTGGTAACAGTTAAAGCTGAGTGATGGGCTCAATACACTTTTTTGTCTACTTCTGTATATGTTTCAAATTTTCACATTTAAAAAAAGTCAGCAGAAGTAATTTCTGTGTGACTATAACTCCAACTTGGGTTCAAGGGGTTTTTTCTTTGAGCCAGAGTCTTGCGCTTTTGCCCAGGATGGAATACAGTAGTGTGATCTCAGCTCACTGCAACCTCTACCTCCTGGGTTCAAGCAATTATTGCGCCTCAGCCTCCCAAGTAGCTGGGATGTGCCACCATGCCTGGTTAAGTTTTGCATTTTTAGTAGAGATGGGGTTTCACCATGTTGGCTAGGCTGGCTTGAACCCCTGACCTCAAGTTATCCACCCACCTCAGCCTCCCAAGGTGCGGAGATTTTAGGCCTAAGTCACTTGCACTAGGCCGGTTCATGTGTTTTTAATTTGTAGGGATTGCTTTCGTTTCTTTTTGACTTAATTTTTGTTTGAATGATGTAAAATATTTACATGGCTATTAAACGATAAAACATAATTCAGAGTTCTCCCGTTTATCCCTGTCCCTTGTGTTTTCTCACTTCCCCATATAAACAACTATTTTTACTTACTTTATTTTTGATTGGCATTTCCATTCTTTTTGAAAATAAATAAATACGGAGATATATATATATATATATATATGTATTAAGTCTTCTGGCCCTACAAAAGATGTATTATACAAACTCCTCTGCAGTTTCCTTTTCTTCATTTAACAACATGTCCTCAAGATCACTCCAGAGTATTATATAGAGATTTTCCTCATTACTTTTATTCAACCAGTACTCTACTGATAGACATTGGGTAGTTTCCTATCTTTTGCTATTACAAGTAATGTAGTAGCCTTGCACATATATATTATGTTTTCGCCAATGCATCTTGAGGATAAGATAGATTCTGACAAAAAATATTAATTACATGTCACTTTTCTAGATACCAAGTGGTCAAATTCTTAATCTTTATAACATAAGTACTCAAAGGAAACAAAAATTAAAAGATAATTTATCTAAAGCAAATGTAGTTCTGTTGGTATAAAGTAATGGTGGGGGAAGAGGTTAGTATATTTCATCTCTCACAGTAAAGGTTTCCAAATCAATCTATAGGAATACTTATTAGTAGAGGCCGGGCGCGGTCGGTGGCTCATGCCTGTAATTCCAACACTTTGGGAGGCCAAGGCGGGCAGATCATGAGGTCAGGAGATCGAGACCATCCTGGCTAACACAGTGAAACCTCGTCTCTACTAAAAGTACAAAAAATTAGCCGGACATGGTGGCATGTGCCTGTAGTCCCAGCTACTTGGGAGGCTGAGGCAGGAGAATCGCTTTAACTCAGGAGGCGGAGGTTACAGTGAGCCAAGGTTGCACCACTGTAGTCCAGCCTGGGCGACAGAGCGAGACTTCATCTCAGAAAAAAAAAAAGAAATACTTATTAGTAGAGTTAATGAATAACTACCTTCTAGGTCTAATTTCTGGGACTGTAAGCCTCTTGAGGATGAAGAATTAAGCTTAATTTCCTTCAGATCATGACCAACAGAGAGACAGCACGTTTAGTGAATCATTTTCATTTAATAACTGTTCTCAGGACTGATTATCATAAGCTGTTTAGTCCTCTGTTTAAGATTTTAATCTTTTCATAGAATTATGTTTACTGTGGCTTTTAATTGGTAGCTACTAGTATCTTGAAATATAAATAATCCCAGTAGTATGTATTATTACTATCCCTACTGTATCTACATTGACGACAATTATTGAAAGTTTCACCTTAAATATCGAAGATAGAATTCCAAAACAAGTTTCTCATTCCATTTCTACTTTGATGCTGCTTTCTCTTTTAAAAATATCTTTCCTCTACAAAACCAATATAAAATTTGCTAAATATAGTTAGTGGCCTGAATTTAAAGGTAGTATCAGCCAGACATAAGGGGCTATGACTTATCCTTCTAAAACATAAAATACTTACGCGTCTGTTGTCTTTGTACACCCATTTAGATTCAGTACTTCAATGTTCCTGCAGTTTTGTGCAAAGGTTCTTTATAGGAAAGAAAGTAAGAGGTTTCAAATGAAATAAGCAAAATTCCAGTCATTAAAAAAGCAATAAAATATATTATTATTGGTAATATTGATTGTTGATAACTGTGATACTGTGATATAAAGGAAAAACATGTATTTGGTCTTCATCCTCGGTTCTTGGCATCCAGTCCCTAAAATCTTTGTAATTTCCTGAGTGATAGTATCTTTTGTTACAGGTTGGTGAAAAGTAATCGCGGCTTTTGCCATTACTGTTAATTAACAGTAACTGCCATTATTGTTAATGGCAAAAACTGTGATTACTTTTGCACAAACCTAATATAATATATGGTCTTCAATCATGTCTCTGATCAAGGAACCTTTGTAAAAACCCCTAAATGATAGGGATCAGAGAGCTTCTGGGTTGGTGAATGTAACCACATGCCAGAAGGGTAGTATACCCCAATTTCACGGGGACAGAAGCTCCTGTGCCTGGGACCATTCTAGACCCTGCCTTATACACCTTTTCATATTCCTTCTACCTCAGCCTCCCTAAATGCTGGGATTACAGGTGTGAGCCACTGAGCCTGGCCATGATTTTTTTTTTTGAGATAGAATCTCTCTCTGTCGCTGAGGCTGGAGTATAGTGGTGCCATCTCAGCCCACTGCAGCCTCCACCTCCCAGGTTCAAGCGATTCTTCTGCCTCAGCCTCCTGAGTAGCTGGGATGACAGGCACGCACCACCATGACTGACTAAGTTTTTGTATTTTTAGTAGAGACAAGGTTTCACCATGTTGGTTAGGCTGGTCTTGAACTCCTCATCTCAAGTGATCCACCTACATCAGCCTCCCAAAGTGCTAAGATTACAGGCTTGGGCCATCACACCTGGTTTAAATTAATTTTCAATTATAAATTCTTCAAACATAACTTTAAAAATTATTTTAAATTAAAAAAATAAATGATTGCTTATTTATTTATTTTTAGAGACAGGCTGGAGTACAGTGGTGCAATCACAGCTCACTGTAGCCTCAACCTCCCAGGCTCAAGTGATCCTCCTACCTCAGTCTCCCTAGTAGCTTGGTTTACAGGCATATGTCACCTAACCTGGCTAATTAAAAAAAGTTTTCTAAGGCCGGGCGCGGTGGCTCAAGCCTGTAATCCCAGCACTTTGGGAGGCCGAGACGGGCGGATCACAAGGTCAGGAGATCGAGACCATCCTGGCTAACATGGTGAAACCCCGTCTCTACTAGCGGGCGCCTGTAGTCCCAGCTACTCGGGAGGCTGAGGCAGGAGAATGCCGTAAACCCGGGAGGCGGAGCTTGCAGTGAGCTGAGATCCGGCCACTGCACTCCAGCCTGGGCTACAGAGCGAGAGTCCGCTCTGTAGAGACTCCGCCTTGCCATGCTGCCTAGATTGGTCTTATACTCCTGGCCTCAAGTGTAATCCTCCCACCTAGCCTCCCAAAGTCCTGGGGCCACTGCCCAGGTTAGGGTTAACCATAACCCTAAAAAAGAACTAGACTGGGTGCGGTGGCTCATGCCTGTAATTCCAGCACTTTGGGAGGCTGAGGCAAGAAGACTGTTTGAGTGTAAGAGTTCGAGACCAGCCTGGACAACAAAATGAGATGCTGACTCTATAAAAAAATTTTAAAACTTAGCCAGGCGTGGTGGTACATGTCTTTAGTCACAGCTACTCAAGAGGGGGAGGATTGCTTGAGTCCAGCAGTTCAAGACTGCAGTGAGCCATGATTATGCCAGGGCACTCCAGTGAGCCATGATTATGCCAGGGCACTTCAGCCTGGGTGACAGTGTGAGACCTTGTCTCAAAATATAAAATAAAAATAATTAATTAATTAAAAAAAACTTATTCAAAGCTCCAAAAGAAACCCTTATGATAGGGAATGTGGGATTTTTTCAGGCAGTACTTGTTCTTGTTTATTGTTAAAACTACATTTCTTATTACTGGATATTTTCAGATTATAAGCAATGTATGTGTGGTTGCATTTTTAATAACTTAGTAATTTTAAAACGATTTTAGCCTTTTCTGGGTGAGATGGTGCTGCTCTTCACTTCCATCAAGAAGATTAATCAACAGTTATGTTTTCACCTTAATGCATTGTCTCCCACTCCAAGACATCCACGAAGACTTAACTTTCGTAAAAAGCCCCCACATCGTTTTGAAATATTCTCCACTACTCGGCCCTGTAAAAATAGACAGGCAAACAAAAAGATAACTCATCTCATTACTTTAGAAAAGAACACATCCTCATTTTTAACGATTTATAAACAACGAGAAAATGCTTTTATTATGACCTAATTAATTTAATAGGAAAATTGTAACTTACCCTGGGAAAGCTTTCCTGATTAAGCCACAGCTACTGAAGTACAGCAACTATATTTATTTTTTTGTATCTTTTCCAAAATGTTTATTATAGTACTCTGCTTATAGTAGGGACTCAATGAACATTTAACAAAAACTGGCCAGTTTTGTTTTGTTTGGGCTGGGCACAGTGGCTCACACCTGTAATTCCAGCACTTTGGGAGGCCGAGGCAGGTGGATCACGAGGTCAGGAGATCAACACCATCCTGGCTAACACGGTGAAACTCCATCTCTACTAAAAATACAAAAAATTAGCTGGGCGTGGTGGTGGGCACCTGTAGTTCCAGCTACTTGGGAGGCTGAGGCAGGAGAATGGCATGAACCCAGGAGATGGAGCTTGTAGTGAGCCCAGGTCTCGCTCCACTGCACTCCAGCCTGGGCGACAAAGCAAAACTTGTCTCAAAAACAACAACAACAACAAAAGCTGGCCAGGCACAGTGGATTCCGCCTATAATCCCAGCACTTTCGGAGGCTGAGATGGGCGGATCATTTGAGGTCAGGAGTTCAATACAAGCCTGGCCAACATGGTAAAACCCAGTCTCTACTAAAAATACAAAAATTAGCCAGGCATGGTGGCTCATGCCTGTAGTCCCAGCTACTCGGGAGGCTGAGGCATGAGAATTGCTTGAATCCAGGAAGCAGAGGTTGCAGTGAGCTGAGACTGCACCACTGCACTCCAGCCTGGGTGACAAAATGAGACTCTGTCTCAAAAACAAAACCAAAAGCTTGCTGAAGAATTTTGTGGGTGGTGTTGCTTTATTTACATCCATGAAGGTTAGAGAATTGTGAAAAACACAGCCGGGTGCGGTGGCTAAAGCCTGTAATCCCAGCACTTTGGGAAGCCAAGACGGGCGGATCACAAGGTCAGGAGATCAAGACCATCCTGGCTAACAGGGTGAAACCCCGTCTCTACTAAAAAAAAAAATACAAAAAACTAGCCGGGAGAGGTGGCAGGCGCCTGTAGTCCCAGCTACTCAGGAGGCTGAGGCAGGAGAATGGCGTGAACCCGGAAGGAGGAGCTTGGAGTGAGCTGAGATCCGGCCACTGCACTCTAGCCTGGGCGACAGAGCGAGACTCCGTCTAAAAAAAAAAAAAAAGAGAATTGCAAAAAACAAAATCCAGTGTAATGTTAGTGGGTATTATTTTATTTTATTTTATTTTTTATTTATTTATTGAGACTGAGTCTCGCTCTGTTGCCCAGGCTGGAGTGCCGTGACCAGATCTCAGCTCACTGCAAGCTCCGCCTCCTGGGTTTACGCCATTCTCCTGCCTCAGCCTCCCGAGTAGCTGGGACTACAGGCGCCTGCCACCTGGCCCGGCTAGTTTTTTGTATTTTTTAGTAGAGACGGAGTTTCATCGGGTTAGCCAGGATGGTCTCGATCTCCTGACCTCGTGATCCGCCCGTCTTGGCCTCCCAAAGTGCTGGGATTACAGGCTTGAGCCACTGTGCCCGGCCATGGGTATTATTTTAAAAGCACTTTGGTTGGTTTCAAACTCCTGACCTCAGGTGATCCGCCCACCTTGGCCTCCCAAAGTGCTGGGATTAAAGGTGTAAAGTCATCTCACGTGCCCTCAAAAAACCTTATTTAATCCTCAAGAAGCCACGAAGAAGCTATTATTTCTACCTTCCTGATGAGAAGGATAAGAACAACAGAGTTCAAATTCAGTTTAAAATAATTTAAGGGTAAGCCATTCTCCATTTTATAGGTGATGGCTATATTAAGAGATAAAACATGGGGGGGAAAAGTGAGAGGAGGAAAAAACCTCTCTCTGTAGCAAAAACAATTCAATAAATGGCTTTGGCTTTATTCAACCTTTGTCCTCCAAGAAACTGGCTCCTCAAGAATCAAAACACGTATCTCAAAAATATATATATACAAACGCCATCCTAACAAGTTATAACTCTCTTTGTTCTTCAGTAAACAAATATAAAATGTCTTCACTAAAATAAGCAAACATAGATTCAATGTTTCCACTGCAAAAACAAACTTTTAGTCCTATTTCAGGACCAAAGAATCCTATTTAGTCCTATTAATACTAAGTAATTGTATTATTTCAGTGAAATAATCTGGCTCATTCTCAAAAACTGCAGAAACTCTTGGGAACTCTAGAGGTTCCTGTAAACTTCAGATGCACTGAAAATAATATTTCCTCTCTCTAAGGAAAATGAGATTAATATGGTCAGGGCTAATCTGTTCCATGCTGTAATTAACTAACATGAAAACTGGGGCCACACACCACGTAATTATACCTCAATATCCCTCTGGAAATCAAATAGGTCAATTCGCTGCCAGTTACTGCCATCCAGAGCCAGAACATTCCAGGCCTATTTTAAAGAAAAAGAGACAGAATGAGCAGAAGCTAAAATTAAGGGGAAAAGGCAGCAATATTCAAGTTCACAATTCGACCAACTAATGACTAAAATGGATCCAAAAATTTATCAGGCCCTACCCACTTACTCCCAAATCATGTATCTTACTCCTGACCCATACTGTATTCTCCAATTAGATAATCTCATAAATGAGTGGGTACTAGAAACTAGCAGCTACAAAAGATCTCAGGCCAGGCATGGTGACTCAAATTTATAATCCCATCACATTGGGAGGTCAAGGTGGAAGGATCACTTGAGCCCAGGAGTTCCAGACCAGCCTGGGCAATATAGCGAGACCTGATCCCTATAAAAAAAATTTAAAAAGTCGGCCAGGCGTGGTGGCTCACATCTGTAATCCCAGCACTTTGGGAGGCCGAGGCGGGCAGATCACCTGAGGTCAAGAGTTTGAGACCAGCCTGGCCAACATGGTGGAACCCCATCTCTACTAAAAGTACAAAAATTAGCCGGGTCTTAATGAAGTATTTTACAGTCATGAAGGAAAAAGATAATTTAATAAAGCCTAAAAGCAGCAATGAAAAATGTTAAATGTCTA